TACGTATTAAACATTAATTCACTTTTCATTCTTGATTTTGTTTAATTAGGAAGAATAAATTGTTCAGGGAATACTAGTCTAATATTTTGTATATTATTATTGTCATATTTTAGTTAATCAAGAAACTACGCCGGTTTCATTATAAAATATCAACACTACTAATATGATAAGATTTGGTAATATTGCTAAAAATATAGGAAGGAGAGAAATCTAAATTACTAGACTGAACTAGTCTACTAGACTCTAGCTTTAGTATTTACTATAGCTGAGATCTGAGAGACTATACTATAGAGAGTAGAGAGAGAGAGAGAGAGAGATAACATGTGGCCGATTTAGCCCGCTCCTTCTCTTTTCTTTTCTTTTCTCTTTTTTGTTACTCTTTTCCCCCCGTGCGCCATATCTCTTCGTCATTCTCATCCCTTCCACTGGGCTTTTCCGCCCTCCACCATCTTCCGCTAATTTGATGGGAAAATCTGGGCCGCTTTTTATATCGTCTTCTCGTTTAGTCCTGTCGAACCTCGCTAAATATAGGTTCGCGTTTTTGTATTCTTTTCTACAATTTGCAATATTATTAGAACCTTTTTTATACGTTTATTTTTTTCAAAATTTAAAATTTAACGGGTATAAAATTAGATGTGCTAATTCACTACAAACACATGAATAATGCATTTATTATTGATATTATACACTAAAGACACGCCCTGATTCCATTAAATATTTGTAATGCAATTGAAAAATACTAATTTACTGATCACTATTTCTCCTTCAATTAATGTTTTTTTTAAATATTAATAATTTCTTGATTGTAGATATTATACACGTTAAACGCAGGAAATAAAAATATTGATCAATCAAAAAATGTATATTGTTTGCTCAATATTTTGATTTATGTACAATGATATGTACGATTTTTTTAAAACATATTTATTGATAGATATTACATACATATTACATTGATAGATATTTTGTCACAATTAAGGACATTTATAATAGTGTTCAAAGAGCACATTCACAATAAATAATACAGAAAAAATATTCTATATATTATTTCTAAAAGGTGTTTTTTTGTCGGTACTCCATAACTTCGTCAATTCTTCATCAAATCCAATGATTGACCACTCATTTAGAAGATATTCTTCTCCTTTACATGCGAAAAATAGTCCCATCCCCCCGAAATTCCTAGAAAAAAAGTTATGGAGGAAAAGAAACTTTATTTGCGGATAACTCAAAAAGTATGCATTTTTGTAGTACCTATGATAATTAGAAAGATTACTAAATTACCAACAAAACGAAACAAAAATTCGTAAAGATCGGACAATTATTAACAAAGATACAGTCCATTAGTTTTGGTATAATTAATAATGTCTCCTGAATTAAAGATATTGCATTTAGGAATAGAATAGTCTACTACACTACATTTTTTTTCCTTGCTGAAATATTAACTTTATTATTTCTTGAAGAAGTTTGGTTGTTCTTACATTTTTTTTTTTTGATAATTTATAATATCCCATGATCGAGGCATTATTTTGTATATATTACTTTTATTATACTTCCAGTCAGTGTTTAAAAATAGGTCATAGAAAAGCAATTTGTACAAATATGTTGGTCTATTATGTTTCATAGAATATTGTAATCGACCAAGGAAAAAATATTAATTCCTTCCTGACATAATACGTAGGAACTACTTATTTCCATATTGTTTTGCTATTTCTTCACTAAACAAAATTTTATGCGAATTTTTCGTACGGGCCAACTAGTAATACTAAAAATAAATGTATATAAGCTAAACTAAACAAAAAGAAACTAAGCTAATGAAAATACTTCTGAAATACATGCATGCTTCTATACAATATTTTTAAAAAAATTCATTCACTCAAGATATTCGACCCAAGCCTTTCTCCCCACTCGTGGAAGAAAAGGCAGGACTCCAGGAGATCCCAGCGCCCCTCACTCAGCCGCACCACTGATATTAAAGATCAGTACAGGCTGAGCAGAGGCGATATAATCACACATACATGGCTTTATTGAAAAATCTGGCCATTGCTAAAACTCTCATATATATACTTATTCATAAGAGGTCTCTGGGCCACTGCCGCTTCAACCTTTAAGGAGGATTGTGCATAGGATTGTAGGAGGATTGTGTAGGAAAGGGTGGTGCTGGATAGGAATTGTGCAAGGGGATTTGGATGATAGGTAAAGTTCTGGTAAAATTTGGAGAATTTTTCGGGGATAAGGTCTAGGGCAAAAGGGATCTTAAGGTCAAAGTGTAGGGTTTTTTTATTTGCATAAAATGGAGCATAAACTATTCTTCAAAAGACTTTAGATTTTAAGGATTGAATGCGTTTGATGTTAGAAAATTTAGCTGTTCCCTACAGTTCAAGTTCGTATGTCCTCATGGGTTTCAGAGCTGTTTTGTAGATAAGTAATTTGTTTTCAATTGAAAGTTTAGATTTTCTGTATAGTTGGCCTGTACAATAAAGTTTGGATTTTGTCCCAATGGCAATATTTGCAAAACTATTTTTCGTGCTCTGTTATACCCTGTTCTAGAGCGGGAATTTCATTCAGGAATAGAATTATGTTTTGATGAATGGGTAGGTCCGCTGAGCCTGTTCAGTAAATCAGTTTGCTGATAAATGCAGTGACCTTTCTTAAAAGTACCACATCGTCTAATATTAATGTTACATTCAACTGACAAGGGACGAGATATTCTAGAAGTGTATGACTTATGATAAATGTACTAGTTATAGACAATTTTATACTCATTTAAGATAAGCTTTCTACTCCCAAAAGCGAGTGATGCCAGTATCTCAAGTGATATGCCATAATAGACGATAGGTGGTTGATTTTGTAATGGGTAATTATTGGTTTTCTTCTCTCTTTTAGGAGAAAGTTTGAAATTTGTTATTTATTCATTGGCTAATCGCCATTTTCTATTTTACAACTATGCAGTCTTTTGCGTTTTTTTAAATATATAAAAACAATATGTTGACTCTAAAACCTGGGTTTTTATTACTGATGTAATACACACAACTAATTTACTGTGTGCACAAAAAAAAGCAATTTATCGCACAATAGTTTATTATTTCCATATAATTCCGTATATATCAAATATAACGAGACTTCCTTACAACTTAAAAATAAATAAATAAAAGATGATTACTAAGATCAGCCTGAATATGTTTTCTTGTCATCGTTGTTAACTTAGACATAAAGACAATCTCGACTGCTTCAGTTGATGAAAGACTCAAAAAACAACAACAAAGGATATCAGTTTTGTAGTAGATCGTGTGGTAGATCTTTAGAACAGCAAATATTTGCACCAATTAACAACAATTCCTCCTTGGTGTTTTCCCTTTGCAAGTCCACCTACTCCGTATTCAAACTTCCGCGAACATGTAAAATTTACTTGCGTCCTTACAATTGGTATTTTCCTTTTCCAAGTCCTCAGAACCAAAAACCCTCTCTACATCCTGGAACTTCTTACTCTATGCTCCTCTATCCACTTTCTCAATATCAGGTCTCAACCTATAACTTTAAATATCCCCTTCGATAAAACAACTGCCTTCAGCAAATCCTTCGTCATTCCTACCAACCACTTTTGGAACTGTTTTCCTACATCAATCCTCGTCCACAAATTCCTTCAAACAACCACTGTTCCATCATTTACTCCTTATTCAAACTTCCGCAAACATGTAAAATTTATTTACGTCTTTACGCTGTTCAATTCAGTCAACTGGACAGTTGCATTAGCAATCAACAGTTAATTAGACATTTTGTATTCTTCTAAGCCAGACTAGGACTCATACATATGTAATTCTAATATTATTTTTAGGGGATTGTAGTCCCAAAATAAAATTATTTTTTCTTTAAATTATTTTTTTTATTATATCCAATGTTATATCCATCAACAAAAAAATGAATACAATTTAAGTTATTCGTAAATCTAATTTTCCCTCAAACCATTTTTTTCAACTTCTTTTCGTGGAAGTATGTCGTATAAATAAATTTAAAGGGCTTCGATGGAGAAGACTTTTGACGAGTTTTATTGAAATTGGTACATTCGTTTACAGGCTACTGTCTATAAATAGGTTTTTCGATCGTCCTCTTGAAAGGTATGGTAATGTCGAGGTAAGAGGATCATCGCCGGGTAACCTCGGACATTGAGCCCAATTCAAAAAAAAATCTGTCGAGTTGTCTCGAAGAAAATCTGCGGACGGAGACTAAAAAATTTGTATTCGATTTTTGGGTTTGCATATCGTAATACGTAACACCTGAAATTTTGAAGGATGGAGCTAGCTGTTTGAATTTTTTGGTTGGTTACAATGGTTCTAAACTTTAAATTAATTATAAAAGGCTCAGTTGTATGACTATAATAAGACCTATATGGACATACGGAGTTGATCTTTGGGGTTCCACCAAACCATCGAATTCCTTTCGTATCCAATCCTTACAATCCAAAATCCTTCGTAAAATCCTTAATTGCCCGTCACAAATAAAACCATTTATAAAGACCTTAATGTTCCTTATAACGCTGATTTAGCCCAAGCAAGATATAATATATCCTTTCATGACAAATTCCAGATCCATCCAAATCCACTTGTTTCCAGCCTTGCTTCTCTCTCTATTCCTGATAATCCGCGTAGGCGACTGAAAAGAAGATGGCCTCGTGATCTTCTTGCTTAGAACTATTTTGAGAGTGCTATCATTGGGTAGTGTCTCCACAAGTCTGTTCATGTCATTACTCTTGATTTGCTGATACTTACTAGTTTTATTTATTTATTGCAGTTGTAAATTTCAATAAATAAATAAATAAAAAAGTGTCTATTACCGGTACATTTACCTTACTCAGGACCTTCGGGTTTGCCTCTGTACGGAATTGATGATATGTTGTTGAAGATTGCATTAAAGAAGAAGTATTGCATTAAAAAAATAATTCAGATGTTTGTAAATACGTGTTATGTTCCTTGAAGAATGCTCCTTCTGGTTTTCGTCCTCTGGATATGATCTCTACGGACGTGAACTACCATAGTATAATCTTAAGGCTACTTTATGATGGCAATGGCGATGCGAAGAGCAACCATCTTAGTTTACGACCTCCGATATGTCGGAGCGCCTGGATAGATACTGTATTCGCATGTGGAAGTCGGTTTGGAATTAGATTGCGCGGAGGCAGAGCCGGCAGCGTACAGATGTTCCGCGGCCGTGGGAACTCGTGACTTCTCGAGACAGGCGACACAAATCCCTCCCCCCCCCCCACGTCATATTTATGGAACCTGGGGCTGAGTTTGACTACCCCCTTCCACTGCCCTATAAATACCATATTTCTTTACACCAGAGTTTTTTTTTCTTTTGTTTTTGTGCATGTTTTTTGCGCCGGTCGCCTCTTTAAGCTGTTCCCCTTCTGTAGTTTTTCTGGGGCAGGCGTCAGGTGGAGCAGGTTGATGGAACAAGTGCCAAGTCGATTGTAGGCTCATCCCTTTTTTATATATGTTTCAGTTGTTTCTTATCTTGAGATACCGTTCTTGTTGAGATACATTAGAAGTTATTCGAGCGCTATTAATTTTTAAAAACTAAATTAAAACAATTAAAAAAAACCCTGATTGGCTTTGGAATACCAGAAATGATAATCATCATTATGATTATGATAATCAACGACTTATAATTTTTCTGTTGTAAAATAAAGTATTATGCATATTGATTTTTCTATTGATCTATTTTACATACAAACAGAAATTGCTTGTATTAGATCATTGTATATGCCGCTTGATCTACCCTTGTCAGTTAGACTTTTAAGGGGTTTAACTTTTTGAAAGGTTTCATTTTCACAGTCCTGTTAGAAGTTTTGGAAAAAAAAAAAATAGAATAGTTATTTGAAATTTGAATAGTATAAAGAACGTATTTTGAGTGTTTTTTTTTCTTCGGATTTACGAGGAATCCCAGCTTAAGCGACCTTTTGTCATTTTATTTATAAGTTTTTTTTTTTAATATTACAATCTGTCTTACAAAGGACATTTATAATAGTGTTCAGAGATCTCAATCACACTCAATGTACAACAATAATAATATATATACAATAAATAAGTATAAAATAATCTAGAAAATAAAGAAAAAGAACACAAACATATCTATATAAACTATTTATAATCAGGCGAGAGAACTCCGAGCCAAACTTGTCCCTCCAACTGTGGAGGGAAAAGCTGGACTCCAGGAGAACCCTGCGCTACTCTCTCAACCGCATCACTGATACTAAAGCCAGCGAAAACCAAGTTATCAAAAAAAAAAAAATAGGTTTATAAAGTTTTAAATTTAAAAATCATTCCATATCTTTAAAACGATTTAACATAGTTTTTGGTTTATTATTTTCAATAATCAACCATTGTGGTCGACCAAAAAATTCAAAAACTTCACCCCCTCTCAAAATTTGAGGTTTCACGTTTCAGGACGCGTAGAATTCGAAAAACGAATAAATTTTTTTTTGTCCGTCCGCCTTCCGCGCATTTTCTCCGAATCTACTGGACCAATTTTTTTTTCAAATTTCGATACAAAATCAGAGGTCACCCGAGGATGATCCTCCTTCATCGACATTACTCTCCGCCTTTAACTTTCAAAATGGCGGCCGAAAAACCTGCGTTGCTATAGACTGTAGCTCCTACACGAATGTACAGATTTCAATGAAACTTCGCTAAAGTCATTATCTCGACGCCCTTTAAATTTATCTATATAACATACTTCAACGAAAAGAAGCTGGAAAAAAAGTTACGAGGGATGGTAAAATTAAATTCCGAATAACTCGAAAAGTTTTTACATTTTTGTTGATATTGTATATAGTTTTTTAAAAGTTTACGAAATTTCCTAAAAAAAAAAATCTTTAAAATCGGACAATTAAGAGCAAAGATATGGTCTCCGGTTTTTTTAATATGTTCTACTCCAAATATTATATCCTTGGTTTGGTTATTAAATTTTGTATGTGTTACTGAACTAATGCCTTTTTTTTTTAGTTAATATATTACTATTGATTAAAGAAAAACAGTTTAGTCCAATAATTGGAATAACCTTTTGTTTTTTTTTCTTTGTAACTCGGAAGGTAATGTTACTTTAGATGTATAATTGTTTGGAAATAATAAACCATTGTGAAATAATTTGCAGCGTTTTTTTATATTTGATTCAATGGACTATATTTGAATCAGTCTTACGCAGACCCTATCCTAGTACAGCAGAAGCCGTATGTCTTCAGTGAGCGTTCAGTAAGCGTTAACTACTTATTGAGGGTTAGATCTCTGGTACTGGTACCGTTGGACTGATGGACTGATGCTAATATCGTAACCCCTTTTAAGAGTTACCGCGCTGTTTAGAAAAAGTGAACGAAGGAAGAGATTTTCCAGAGCTATTAAGATATGGTAGCATGTCCTCCCTTGGGACCATCCGTCAAGGTAGTTTTTTCTTTTTACCTTTACTCGAAGCCGCTCACTTCTGGACAAAAATTGTTTTCCTACATCCACCTTGAAGGACGCCCTTAATTCAAACATGACAAAAACCTCTCGCTCTCCGGTGTTTAGTATCGGTGTTTCGGAACGCCCCACCCAACAGTCACTGGCTCATTTACACGTGACAACTATCTGTCATGATAGTAAGATGGCACACCGTGACATCAAACTTACTACCTGTTGTGTTAACAGCTAAAAAAAAAAAAAAAAAAAAAAAAAATCGACTGAATTGTTAAATTTTAAATCCTAAATAAATATATTGAATATTTAATAGTTGACCGTTGCTTTATAAAGCTTATTCACGTTGTTTATAATTTTTTTTCTAAATATTATGTAACTTGCACAATTCTCTATATTTTTGTATCTCGTCCGTAGCCCTGAAGGAGACCTGCAAAGTCGGTTCGAAACGTTGGCCTTTAATAAAATAGTTTTGCCACTATTTAGCCTATTTATGACCGCCACCACGGGCCGTCTCCTTGCTCTAAATAAATATAGATAGAAACTTAACTGAAAATAAATACGAGTAACTTGAGAAATAACAACACTGAGGTTTCAATAAGATTCCATTCAACGGATTCATCGACTTCAAAAGCGGATGGAATCGATTAGCCCTCGATGATTAAATTTATGAATAAACGCTTTGGATTCCATTTTTGGATCCATCGATGAGTTTAGGAATTGTTCGTTCTCTTGTTCTATTATAAACTTAGCAGCTCTTATCCATACTAGCATTCCAACTAGATTCTAGTACCAGATGCCAACTGTTAATTAACCCAGCTGGGTATATCCCACATTATGGATCCAGCCTTAATATCTAATTAAGAAAATGAACTGGATAATTGTTATTTTCTCTCCCTTTTACTTAGGATCTATATAGAATTTTGGTAATCTTATATAAATCCAGTCATTAGTTGTTTAATTAATCAGACTGTCTACTGGACCTCAGAATAAAAAAATAAAGCTAATAATTAGAATTCTTCTTTTTTTTTCCTTTTTGCTGGGAAGTTGTATGTTATTCTCTGTTTTTGGCAATAATAATTTCCAATTAAACAACAATTGATTTATTTGTTGTATTTACATGTTTACGTTTCGGGAAATTTACTCCCATCTTCAGAACTACAATCCCATGTTTCTTTATCGATTCATGGCTAAAAATGAATTAAAAAAAAATAATGCATGTTACAATATATGTTAGAATTTAGTAGTTACATTATATTTGTAATTACCTTAAGTCTAATGTGTTCCATTGTCATGTTATAAATTCATGTCATAACAAATTATAGTATGTAATATCCAGAGCATCATCATGCCATTAGACCAATTATTGGTTTGGATATGACTATTTATTTTTTTACTATCGTTCAGACGGTTACAGAACGCCGAATTGCGTGAACTGTATCCGAGTAATATAATTGAGATGATTTCATCGCGGCGAACCAAATGGGCGTGTAAAGTTGTTGGACTTAGTAACGAGAGAATTCCTAAAAGGTTAATATTTGCTGTCCCGAATGGTAAGCGTCCGAGGGGTAGACCGAAGCGAAGGTGGGAAGATTGCATTAAAGCTGATCTGAAGGGACTGGGTTTGGACGGCGAACGGTGGAGGGAGGTGTGTAATAAGCGATTGATGGTGTCGGCATCGAACCTTCGGGTTCGCTAAGCCTTTTTATTATTTATTATTATTAATATATCAACATAATGTGTCCCCAAATGTTTGATGTCTATTTTGTAATTTACTCTTGTTCTATTGTTTTAATAATAATTAGAGTATTTTATTAAAACGTGCCAAAAGTTAAGTGAACGTGATATTGAATGGTTATTGGTCACGAAAATGTTACATAAAATACACGACGGCAAATGTATTAAGACGTGTATAACGGTTGATTCGCGGTAAACAATTTGTTTATTCAGACTTTTTTTTCATAATTAAATTCATAAAGTTATTTTTTACCGAATCGTTACTTTACCAATTATCGAAAATAATTTTTAACTAATATTATTTTTTTAAATTTAGTAGCTTCTCATTGTTACAGACAGATATATTAATTTATGGCGAAAGAGTAAGTTATATCCAGCGACAGCAATATATATATACTTTGTCTTGCAAATAGTTTAGCTAACTTGACTTAGAAAACATTGAAAATGACTTGGAAATAAATTAAATTCGACTCGGAAATTATAAATATATATATTTCGAAATGTTAAAATTAAACGAAAGTTGAATTTAATCCAAGATTTACTTTGTCTTGGAAATAGTTTAGCTAACTTGACTTAGAAAACATTGAAAATTACTTGGAAATAAATTAAATTCGACTCGAAAATTATATGTATACATTTCGAAATGTTAAAATTAAACGAAAGTTGAATTTAATCCAAGATTTACTTTGTCTTGTAAACAGTTTACCTAACCTCACTTAGAAAACATTGAAAATGACTTAGAAATTATATACATATTTATATGAAATTTCCAAGTCGAAGTCAGTCTATTTCCAAGTCATTTTCAATGTTTTCTAATTCAGGTTAGTTAAACTGTTTGCAAGACAAAGTTAATCTTGGATTAAATTAGATTTTCGTTTAATTTTAACGTTTCGGAATTTTTGGATATAAGGGATAATGTTTTCCTATATCGAGAAATTCTGAAAAGTTAAAACGAATCGGAAGTTGAATTTGAAATGGAAAAGGTTGATCCTGATTTCTAGAAGCTCCACTCGACTTCAAAATAGTTGAATTTGACTTAGATAAACAATTTTTTACTTATTTTTATTTCTTACCGATATTTACAACTGTGTTAAAGAAATACATTTAGTAAATTTGAACATATGGATAAAATGACGTGAAAACACTTTTTGAGAAACTACCCAATGGTAGCACTCTAACAATATGTCTTCATTAGATCACGGAGCCATCTTTACTTCAGACGCCTCGGAGGGTTATCAGGAATTGAAGAGGAAGCAAGGTTAGAAACGAAAGGGTTGGGATGCTTCTTAAGTTTATTATGGAAGGATAGGTATCTGGATTGGGCCAGATCTGAAACATTAAGGTTATTACGGATGGTTTTATTTGTAACAAAGTAGGGAGCATTGTTTAAGATTTTACGAAGGAGATAAAATTTAAGTTGGCTTGAAATATATTGTATTTGACTTGGAAATGATTTGATATATACCTATATATATATATTTGTATTATAGTTTATTATAAGTATTCCGATGATCTATAATTTCTTAAATATGTCCTGGAAATTCGGCAATGCTATGGAATTCCATAAGAAAGTTTCGGTTGTGATTTTATTTATATTATAAATTATTGATTGCAATTCATAGATTGTTCTACATGTGGGTGATAGAGGGTCACATCTCTGTCAGTTTTTGAAGCTTTTTTTGTTATTTAATACATTTCAAACTTAATTTTTCATCATGGCAGAAAAAATGTATAACATTAAGAGATGCAAAAATAATATAAGACAAAATGTATTAATTTTTCAGCCCTCATTAAGAATACACAGATTTGGGTTGAAACTTGGGCAAAAAAATCTGGGATAAAACAAGTTTTTGCTCTGTTTACGATTAGGCACATAGAGTAGTGATATACGCAGTGGCGTCTTAATTTTACTAATGACGGAGCGGGTACCCACTTTTTGCCGAACTGAGGCTGAGGTGTTTGTTGGCTAGAAATTATTTCAATAACCGGTCCATTTCTTCTGGCCCCTGCTCACTCTAGCGAAACTCCTACTAATCACCGTCCCTCCCTCTTGTGTTAGGGGCTGCTGGAAGGAAGAGATATTTTGTAAGAAAATGTCTCTATAATGTTGTATTACTTGTTTCATTTTTGTTCATATCTACATTTTGTAAAACAAAACTTATTGTTATTATTATAGTTTATTTACAAATAAATTATCTGGTAGAAAGGATTTTATCTGCATGGATGCTGAAAAAGAAAATGAAAATATTTAATAGTTGACCGTTGCATTATAAAGGAAGGAGATGATCCGGGGTGGCGGTCATAAATAGGCTAAATAGTGGCAAAACTATTTTATTAAAACCCAACGTTTCGACCCGACTTTGCAGGTCTTCTTCAGGAGTTGAACGGACAAGATACAGAAAATATAGAGAATTGTCGAAGTTACATAATATTTAGAGAAAAAAAAATGTAAACAGTGTTTAATAAGCTTATTAAAATTATAAACATTAAATATATTAAAATATAAACAGAGAAACTAAGTAACAAGATCCTAAACAGAAGTAAATAGATGGTAACAATTTTTACAGTGTGATATATAATACATGCAAATGTGAATATACTTCTACAGATCTACGGGAGGGATTGAAAAAGAAGGAAAAAGGATATAATATGAAATAATAGACTTATAAGAATGTAGAGAAAGAAAAGACAAGAAAAATATATAAGTATATGAAATAAAAATAGAGACTTACAGATGTGTTCAGCTAGAAGTTTCACTTAGAACTGGAAAATAAGGGTAAGCGTAGTTATTGGGAAATTTTGCTGACCTAAATTTGCGCAATTGAAGATAATATGGATGGATACAAGGGAAAAAACAATATATCTATGAAATAATAAATTATAAATATATACATATACATATAAAATAGAATTAAGAATTTATAGATAAGAGTACAATATGAATAAAAAAGCCTATTTATGACTGCCACCTCAGACCATCTCCTTCCTTTGAAAATGAAAATATTGTTTTCTCACTACCAAACGTAAGATAGAATATCTATTCGTACAGAAGGTCTAAAAATTGTCTGTGTTCTGAATCAAAATTTTTTACTTGCGTGTTAGGTTTGAGAAAAGAATCAATAAATTCTAGCATTTTATAGGTACAATTAAACCTATTCTAACCAAAGTGGAATAGTTGAGATTTATTCGGTGGGGCCGCCACGAAACATATATTAACCCGTATAGGCCGGATTCAAACTGGGGACGCTAGACTCGAGAATATTTTAGCGCGTTTAACTCTTCATGCTCGTCCATCACGACCCCTTCTGTAGTGAAATCCATGTGACGGGCTTATCGCTTACTATAGTGGTGGGGTGTTTAGTACCAATCTGTTTAATTTAAACAGTTACAGTAAACTGTTTCACTGGAGATTAAACAGATACAAGGATTATCTTCCTTTAAGAAGGGGAAAGTTGTTAAAATCAGCGCTCAGCTCATCGATGCCATCGAATAGATCTCTAAACAGAGAAAAACGAAACCATTGATGAATTCAGTGCTGAGTTTAGGAACCTACCAAAGACAACTCTCCTTACAGGTTAGGATTCAGCGATCTCGACGAGAAAAGAAAGAAACACTGAAGCTGTTTAATTTAAACAGCTTTCTAAAAAAGCTACAGAAACAGTCCTCAGTTCAGCTCTATTTGTTCATTATTTTCACTAATAAATTTATATATTACCTTTGAAAAATTTAATGACTTTGACGTTTATCAGCAATTATGAATACTTTTTTTTTCCTCCCACAGTTGATATATTATGGTAAAATTAAAAAAATGTATGATTAAACTGATAATTGTTTTGAAGATACTTCACTCTATAAATATTATGACTACAGGATATATTTTTTTTTTGCTTGTCGAATTTCGAAACAGTCATATCTGATTAAACTGTTTTTTTTTTTTTGTAAGTAACAGAAACTGTTTTTTTTTTTTTTTGTTTTTTTGTAAGTAACAGAAACTGTTGCTACTGATATTTAACAGTTTTGCCCATCACTAGCTTACTAGCGTTAATCCGATTTTTATGAAATGTTTAACCACTTAAGTATATATGAATTTTTAGTCGTTAGACATGTGTGTTTATCGATAATTCTCGAATAATTATATCGAGATATGTTGACTAATCAATATCGATTTTTGCAGGTGGATGAACCTCCAGATGACACGTCGATGCCTGTCGACGACTATATCCGAACTTCTGAGCCTGAAGAAGGATTCAAAGGTAAGTCAAATATATTATAAGGGTTTTTCTGAGTATATCTTTAGTACAGTCCATCCTTGAATGAAAAACACAACTACGTAGTTTAAGCGCTCAAATGTCCCCTTTAAATGGTTTATGACGAATACAAAATCTAATTGTATTTGAAGGAAATTTTATCTAGTTTACCATGAAGCAATTTTCAGTTAGCTAAATTAAATAATTTTTCGTTATCGCTCCCTATAAAAGAGAAAATTGGAATTCATTTTCCGTTCGAAATCGACTCATATATCGCATAAAATTTTTGTTGGAAATTATGTCTCCCACCTCCCAGAGTTTACCTATTATGGGTCACCCTGTAGGCACTGTAGTAGTACTAGACATTTTTTAACCTATTTACGAATAATAAGCTTTATGCACCTTATAGAGAGTGTAAGTATGGGTAGGTTTGCTTATAGAACACACTGGAGTGTGATGTCGGAACCTCATATGCCATAATAGTCGATTGCCAGTTGATTGTTTAAAGGGATAAAGCTGGGTTTGTTTCAAAGAGATTTTTTCATCAATTTTTATTTTTATGATGAGGAGAGGGTGTTATGTAGGTTAAGCTCTGTTCATATTCCGTCGACCCATTGAACGTTCTTTCTTGATCTGCTGCTATCTTATCGTTTTTTTTTTTGTTATTAGTTAACTAATTTAATCTAAGACAGTAGAGAGCGATGATTGTAGAGGGCTTTATAGATATTGAAGGAACGCAACCCTAGAGTTGATTGTGTTTGCCCCGGGGATAAACCGGCTCCCGTAATCTATTCTCTAATCTCCACAGATAACTGAAAAATGTTCTTCGTGTCCTCTCCTCATCTCGGAGGATCAGCGGGAGGGGGTGGGGCAGAGCTCTGCGGATGGGGCAGCCTTTCCTTAAAGCCGGACGGACCCGGTGCAATCTTGGCTTCCAAGCGTCTCCAGATTTTAAGCATTTTAATTTCTTAGATTAGCATATACCAGTAATTACTTTGGTATTGTACTGTGTAAGAAAAAAAAATCTGTTGTTTCCACTCACACGACTTTCCTACCTATTTCAGAAAAAAATTTATATCTTTACATATGTTCATGAAGAAAAAAAAAAAAAAAAAAAAATTGAACTAGATTTATTTTTCTGAAAATTGATCAAAGAAAAGATTTCAGTACGATTTATTTGATAAACTAAAACAGTGTAAACCGGCTTATGGTAGATCAGTGTAAACATTTCAAAATTCTCTAATATTGCTGATCAAAAACTGTTTGCCATAGCTTAGTATTGTCAAACAATAATTTCTGTTAAAATTAGAGGAAATAGTGAAGCTTGTGTGATGCGGGCAACAGATTTTCTTAGTTTCACTTATCTTTTTTCTCTCATTCATCCCTTTCTGACACCAGGATATGAACCCGTAATCTTACATTGGAAATTGTAAATAAAATCAGTTCAGCAGTTCCCGAGAAAATCTTGGCACAGACTGTCTGTATGTCTGTGCCAAGATTTTCTACCAATTCGACCAATGGCTAAAAATGTGTTTTCCGGACTCAGGAGACTCTGAAACGTATCCGTCGAAAACCGCATATCGGAAATTTGACCCGATTGCAATACTTTCCTCACCTAGTATAGGTAGGAAAGTAAAAACTAAGGCACTTTAGACCACACGATAGAAGTAAAAACATCAACAAGTTGGAATTAATTATATGTAATATAAATTATAAATTACAGCTCATTATAATGAGGATGAACTGTTGAACATTTCCCTCTCTTACAGCATGCAGGTCCGATTTTTAGTTTCTGAAATTTTTAGTTTCATATCTTCTATAAACTACACGATTTTTACATTTCACCCCTCTAACACGGCGTCGCGTTAAGATACAATTTTGAATAATAGCCCATTACAAATAGGATGAAATGCTGAATAATTTCCACGCCAACAATATACAGGTCCGATTTTTAGTTTTTGAGACATTTCAATCCATATGCAAAAACACTTCAAACAGTCAACTGCATCCGACTTTATCCGAGCGTTACACATCGGAGGTCTGACGACTCAGATGTTTTCGATTCAACAACTTATCTATTGATGTAAAAAAATCAACATAATTCTAGCAGTATAAGTCTCTTTTATGGCTCTCAGAAGCGATTGATGTACATGAATGAGATATCAAATAGAAGGAAATTTCACTGAGAAGTGAAGAATCAATCATCGAACTCCTACAATAACTTTGATAAATGTCATTGAAAGAAAATTGAGTTAAACTAAATTTGTTTTCCGATAGCCTCTCGAAAATGCTGTGCTTAAGATAAATGGAGAAGATCGGCTCTATTTAAAATTTTGTTCTCCCTGGATTCCTCACATGTACCAACTCCTTTTCGAGCAACGATTGACAGCTCCATGCCGACTTGATCAGGTGGCATGACATATCCCTGGAAGATCCCTAATTGCGCCCCACATCAGACAGACAGAGAAGGGTTAATGAGACAGAGAGAGACAAATGATGTCGGAGAGCTGAGAGGAGCCCATGTGCTGGCGGCCATCCGTCTCTGGGCTTTATTAACACGGCCGACATATGTACTTCAGGTCCACATGTCACCTCCCCCCACTCCCTTCTACTGCCTAGCCTCCTTCGTACTCTTTATAGAACAATACGAACTGGATGTGAGCTATGTTATCTCAAGTCAGAGGGTAACAGTGTTAACAAGCCTAAAGTAAATAAAAACAATAAAATATAATTATTACAATAATAAAAAGGCATTGAATGCAAGATGCTCTGGTAACCTTAATATCCTACGTTGTATATACTTAACATTCTATACCGAAGAAATCCGGATATACATGTTCGACTCATTTAATATCTTAAAAGTTCGAATCGTTAATATTCTTTTCGGAATTGGGTTGAAGTATGCTGCGGTAGATTCCTAGCTCAGCGTTAAGTTGAACTCACAAGTCTGATTTTAAAAGATTTCTAAATAACTTTATTCCTTCTCTATGACTGCCTATCTTGGACTATTTCTTTCCAGTTATTTGTCCGCAGCTCTACGCCATCTTTGTTTTGTTTCGACCTATCCACCAGGTTTTTGGGCTTCATTTGGTCTCTTGCCTATTATTGAGGCATTCATTTTTGTGTAGAGGCTTCTTGATGGATTGCTCCGAGCTTCGTGTTCCGCTCATCTTAATCCCCTTGTTTTGCCTTGATTTGCCAATTTCTATTCTGTGCTTCGATTATCTTTTGTAGGATTTTTCTTCCACACCTTTCAATACTATTTTCAAGAGAGCTGGTCAGTGCTCAAATCCAGAAGTCGCACATCAAAACTGGCTTTACCATAATGCTCTACATTCTTAATTTAAAATTTGCAGAGATTTTTTTGGGATTTCAATGCCTTTGAATGAGAAAAGGAAGCTCTGTTTGCTCTTGTGGTACGCTTTTGTATTACTAATCGTTGTTCTTTTAATTTTAATATTTTTGAACATAGAAGTATTTGAATTTAATGATGTAGAGATGGTTGACCGTGATATAATATGTGAAGGAGTTGATATGGAGGTGCGGTCAAATAAATACTGAATTATAGAAATAGTATTATTTAATTATTATGCCGACGTTTCGACCCACCTTGCAGGTCTACAAAAGATACAACATATAAAAGGTACATGGTGAAAATAAAATAAATGAATTATAAGTAGGTATTATATAACAAAAAGTCTGATAAAGAAATAATAGGATGATATCAGAGATATTGTGAGTGACCATGTAGTTAAAATATCAAGTATTATATATAAAGAAGATACAAACAAAAATAGAAAATAAGTATGAATAAAAATAAAAAACAAAGGAGAATATAAGTTAAAAGTAAACAGATTGTGAATTAATAAAGATTATATTTGATAACTGTGAGTTAACAGATGAAGAAAATGAATTTTAATGAATAAAGAGATTGGAAATTGATTTAGTATTGATATAGTAAAGCTAAAATAAGGATAAGAAAACATAATAATAAGATATCAGTGGATCAAGCTAATGGAGGTTACATTTGCTGACTGTAGGTAAACATAATAATTAAATAATACTAAACATAATAATTAAATAATACTATTTCTATAATTTAGTATTTATTTGACTGTATCCTCCTATCAACTCCTTCTCATATTTAAATTTAAGATTAAGACTGTCCAAAATCTGCTTTAATGATTTCCTTTCAACGCTGATCCTCTTGTTATGATAGAATTTTTATCTTAGAATTCAGGATTTTGGATTTTGATGAAATTCAGTGGTTGGCTAACCATATTGTTAGTTTTCTGTATCGTTATAGGTTGCCTTCTTAACTCTTCCTCTAATACTGAAGTCCACGGTAAGGTCTAAAGTCATTCTTACACTGTAATTTTACTATCTATGAATTCTTATATTCTTAGCCTGATACCTATTAATTACTAAGCCACTGAGAACGTCATTGCTCATGTAATATCATCTGAACCATTAAAATGACGATTAATCTATCATATGCATCGCAAGCTTCTTAACTAAGAAATTTTCTTTCACTCGGTGGACTGTAATAATAAATCTTTCTTAATAATGATGAGAAGAAGATAATTCAATCATTCAATCATTGATGTAGAATTTGTATTTGAACCTTGTTCACTGAAAAATATTGCAATCTGCCTTAATTGAGGATAAGACAAAGAATTAAGGAAGATATAGATAGATAGATAGATAGATAGATAGAAAGTAAACTTTATTCTGGGACGAGGTCCCTTATGAATAACAGATATGAACAAAAAAAATTAAAGCTACATCTGGCCAAAAATTACATTAATCAATATTAAAGAATATATACAATATCTTCAGTGAAATTAAATTAAAACAAGTAAAAATAAAATAAAATTTTGAGAAAAAACGAAATAAAAAAAAACAACATTATTTAAATGAAAATAAAAATAAAATAAAATAAGCATGGGTTGATTTTTAGAATTAAGACAATAAATTTTATCAATCATTCACCTCAGTCAAAATCTGTTTCACAATATTTATTTTATTGTATAACGTCATTTTGGGATGTGAGAAGGAATTGGTAAAGATGATATTTAAATGAGGACAAGGAAGAGGCATGACGGATTTCAGATGGCAAGGAATTCCAGAAGGCTGTGGATCGGGAAATAAAGGAATATTCAAACGTCTTAGTTCTATGGGAAGGGATATAAAGGTCGGAAACACGGGATCTTGTTTTCTGGGAGTGGACCACCGGTTTAAACTGTAGGAGACTGTAGATGTAAGAAGGGTGTCTAGTGTTGATTGTTTGGAATAGAAAAGATCCGAGGAAATATTGTCTGCGGAAAGAAGGGAAGAGCCACTTTAACTCGTCGTAAAGGTGGGACACATGAGATCGCTTGCCTACAAATAAAAAAACTTTGAAATATCACATATATATAAGGATTATATTTTTAAAATTGGAGTTTTAAGTAGGCAATTAAGAGGCATTTCTTAAATTTAGGCAAATGCCGGATTACATAGCTAAACCATTGCCTATTCTAGCAGGACCAGTTATTATGAAGCTGTACATAAAGTATGTGGCTGCGTTTAGACATTTCACAAACTATGGGAAAGACAAATATATAAATGGTCGTTTCCCTATGCTAGTGTTTTTGTTTCTTGTTTTTCATCTGTTGATTACAAAAAAAAAAATTTGGGCTTAGCGCTAATTTCACTATTAGTTAAGTTAGATAATCGCGTTTCCCATAGTTCGTGAAATTCCTAAACAAGCCTTTAGTTTTTTGATCAAATATGCCTTGTATGTATAGTCTTTCCTTCAACTCAAGCTTCTAAACTTCTATTGTACGAAGTTAAAATAATGTGCTATTATATTGTGCAAAGTTTTCCTTTTCCTGCTGCTTACTCCCGCTCGGTTCGACGAACCCAAGGATCCATAATTACGTGGTCATTTATGTAAATGACAGCTGCCACGAAGACATCAGGGGACTTTTTGCCAGGGAAGGAGCCGTGGCGGTGAGGCCATTAAGACTGACCTGTCGTTAGTAACAGTGCTCGCTACCTTCACTATCTATCTGCTAATGTTGTAATTTAAAGGAAACCGGGATCGTATCCAACATCGGTTGTCAATCGGTTGTTTAAAGGTAAATTGTGCATAGATCAACATGTCAATATTTGAGTTGAGAACTTTAAGGTCCCAACTACTAATTGGTGTAAACAACTATAATACGAAGTGATGTAGAGATGGTTGACCGTGATATGACATGAGAAGGAGTTGATCGGGGGGTGCGGTCAAATAAATACTAAATTGTACAAATAGTAATTTAATTTTTTTGCTGACGTTTCTACCCACTTTGCAGGTCTTCAACAGGGCTACGAAATATAAAAGGTACACGGTGAAAATAAAATAAATGAATAATAAGTAGATATTAAATAAGAAAAAGTTGTCTGATAAAGAAATAATACTCTTAATATATGTATTAGAGTAGCTTAATATATGTGCTAGTGGACGGTGCTGAGACTGTCGGTGTGTCCCTGGCCTGATCGAAGCTCTATTTTTTAAAATTCTAGCTTTGAAGAGGATCCCATGGTTGACTAATAAAAAGAAAATACCGGGATCGAAACGTCAATAAACAGAAGAAATGAACATTCAATAGTTTATTAAATAATAATTAAGTGACCTTATTCCCAATTAAATAGTTAAGTTTAAATTTAATACTGAAAGGTCGATTAAGAAAAAGTTGTAAATATATATATATATATATATATTATATATATATATATATATATATATATATATATATATATATATACCCCATGTTGGGTGCGAGAGAGAGATTAAGTGAGGACTACTGTACAGTGGTCAGACAGAGCGAGCTGCGGCTGACATAGGTATTTGTCGCGACGTCCCATCCACAGTTTGCCAGTTTGTCTTGCTGTGTCTTGGGCCTTTCTTTTCCCCCGCTGAGGCCATTCCTTATATCGAGGGGGGCTGCCAAATTGTGCTGAATACACTTCCTCCTCCGTCCCCACCCCCTCCTTCTATTGTTCTCCCTCTTCTTCCTTCTCCCAGACCTCTAGTCCGGTCTAGTCTCCATCTGTCCTATTTAAAACATAATCTAATTCTGTGTTTTCCTTAGGGCAGGGATGGTCGTTAACCTCATGCTATTAATAATCTTATTTACAGAAGAACAGTATGGAAACATCCATGACTTTAATAGTAGCTTGATTAATAACATCCCGTACTAATAATTTAAAAAAATTTGTTAGGGTTTCGATATAAGTTAGGCTTCGTTGGGACATAGGGTTAGGGATGATGGTTGGGGATGGGGTTATAAAAAACAATTAAAAAGTTTTATAATAAAAATAATTAATTCATACATGTCCTTCTTTATTTTTATTCTACATTTAACGTTTCAGCCCTTAGGAAAGAAACCTGTTTTAATATAAAAATAAAATCATATGGGTTTAATTGCCCTTGTCACAATATATTAATAGTCTAGTACTGTATCTTAAGGTCTAGTATTAGACTATTATGATTGTTGTCTAAAATAGTAATAATAATACTTTAAATTTATACTGCATTAAATTGATATATCATTCATTAATAATTATATATTAAAACTATCTAATTAATAAAATAATAAAATTTAATATTAAAGTCAAACTAATTGACATATGGGTCTTTTTTCCATGTCAATTCAACACTAGATCTGAATCTCTCCATCTCAGATTTTCTTGAAATTTTGCACAGATCTTCTACTTGTATTTTTTTTCGACCATCAAACGCATTCATAACTCCTAAAGATTTTCTCCAAGTTCAACGTTAATATAGCCGTTGAAAATTTGAATTACTGCTCTTCCAACCGACATGAATAACTTTTGGATCGCAATCCTTTTCGTATGAAAATTGTTATTTATGTGAATTTCGAGGTGCGAAAAACGATTATCAACTTCGTTTCTCCCTTTAAACTGTATACCGGACCGCTTTAGATAAAATATATTTGTCAAATAGCTATACTGTGGAAACAAATTGGATCGTCCAAGTAAATACTTCCATATAAATATATTTTTAAGTTAATAATTTTCATACTATTTGTCACTGAACAGATTATAAAATAATATGGAAATAAATAAATACGATGTATTTATGATATGGAGGAATTTTCATTTACTTGGTTGTCTGTAATAATAAATCATACTTAATAATGAAGAGAAGAGAATAGCTCAATCATTCGGTTTCATGAAGATTTTTTTTTAAAACCTTGTTTACTGAAAAATATTACAATCTGTCTCAATTGAGTACAAGATGAAGAATTATTAAGGAAGATATAGCCTACCGACAAATAAACAACTTTGAAATA